CCAAATTTAGTGTGTCGTGGGCCTGGCGGGATGCGCGTATTTGCTGCCGTGCTAGTAGTATCTCGCTCTGTGCTAGTCGTCGCGCCGTGTCAGATATGCAGCGCGTGCGTAAGTGTGCCGCGCAGTGCAACCATGTGTCTAAGTCGCTGAGTGCGCGTGCGGGAGGTTGTGCCGCGCCTCCGCCACTGATAAACGGACGTTGGTGTGTGTTTGCAGGCGACGCGCGCGAGTGTGTGCGCCCATACATATCAGACACACGACAGACTGACAGGTTGACGGATTAGGGCAGCGCGTAGCCTGTGTAGTATGCGATTGTGCGCTCCGCCAGCGTGTTGATGCGCGCCACCTATGTTTTCCGCTGAGTGGCGTACGGGTCCGCGCCCGCCTGTCACAGACAACATACGCCACACTGACAATCAGCGACAAGGTTTGCTTCCCGTGCTCGGTTCGTGCCGCCCTGCGCGCGTCGGTCTCTGTTGGCGCGCCCGCCACACACACACCTAGAAATATTTTATTAAAGTCCAATAGACACTAATGAATACACTACCATACTTCTTTTTATTTTTATGTCTCCACTTGAAAAAGTAGCTAGCCTGTCACACCTTTTACTACCATTCATGACTTATGCTCTTTACCTGCTCGTTGATAATGCCAATACCGTCATTTCCCTACTACAGGTAAAACCCTGTTCCCCGAAGTGACCACTTGAGGCCCCTCTAGTCAAACACGAGTCACGCGAGAAGCTATTTTGACAGCTACACGACTTCGCTGTAACTAAAATACTGAGTAAAGTCAATGAACTTATATATGTGAAGAATGCAGCTCATTTAGCTATCATGAACATCGTTTATATGTGAAGATAGACTATAGTTTTAGAGAACACAAAAGGGATTGTTAACTGCCTAAGACTAGGAAATAATTTTCGTGAATAAGTTACACAGCCACATCCTTGTAGTAAGTTCGCACTAAAAAAAACTGTCACATAACAGATACATATCCTGAGGGACCAGTTGTCTGTGTAACAACCCCAAAGTTTTTTCCCTATGTTAACCCTTCCCTGATCTGAAAAAAATCTTTGTAAAAATCGTCTTTTTCCGCTGCTTTCTCCAATCAGTGTTGTCCTGATTTTGCTGCGGTTTGAATAACACAGACGTTCCCATTTTAAACAACGCGGTTAACTCATGTACGACGGTTGTGATGTGTAATCACGTCCACAGAATAGCACCATTATCCCAAAAACCGCTGATCATTTACAAGGTTGTCGTCGGGGTCCTGACTTCGCATGCTCTGTGTTAATCGTTGAAAGTGTACTACATACTCAACATATTAATGTCAGATCTGATTTTACGGTTCATTTTACCTATGCTTGAGAATGCATTATGACTTTTGTTTAACCCTTTTCATAGCATTAGTAGCAACTCGATGAAACACAATTAGCGGAAATGTATGCAGTATAGTGCTCTGTATATTCTAGTTGTTCAGCAGTCCTATTAAATGTTATGTCGCCAAAAAACCCTTTTTCCAAGAAAATCGATGGGAAAATGCTTGTCCTATATTTTCTCCTGTTTTGCTGTAGTTTTTTATTTATCCTGCCTTAAAAAGTTTCATTATAATTATGTTACTTATTTCTACATAATTTTTGCTTCACTAACAACTGACCCTCTCATGGACGACCAAGAAACCTGCCAAAAAGGAATTTTTTTGTAGGTTCAGTCAGTGTCCCATGACAGTTTTACTGCTGATAAATAATGCTGCTCCATTTTTAAAATGTCTCTTACTAGCTTTAAAATACGTTTTATTGAAAATTATTACTAAACGCTACTGGATTCCTAAATTTAACCAGTTAAACTAGCTCCAATTGTGAATGTATATAATGCGAGCAATCTCTCCCAATGTAATACAGAACCCAGTTTTAAAACTTACCTAGATTAGTTTACTTCACTGTACAATACTGAAGTTGGGAAACCTTATCTAAATGTCGGAAAATTAATTTGACTTGCTCTTTAAATTTCACACTGGGCATTATTACTAGATGTACATTCTTGATTATTGTCCTTGTGTTGATTTCTAATGGCTATTCTTTCCAGGTTCAGTCTAGGTCGAGATAATCCAAAAAAGAGAAGCGGAAACTTTGACTCCTCACAACTACAATCCAGTCCCCTATGTGACCAGCGAAGCAGATGTGCCTTAAATCTATCAAACGACCTGGTCAAGTTCTCTAATATGTTCAGTTAAAAACTATAATTACATTAAATACATAGCTATGTCTAAAGATTTACTTTTATATCCAGATTGATCAAACTTTTATTCAATATATTCAAGGTATAGTTCCATTGCATTTTACCATAATAATATGTTAATGGAATTTAACCTTCATAACTTTTGCTCAAATTCCCTACATAAACTTCCTGAATCTCAATATATGGAGGAAGACTTATTCCAGTTTGGCCGAACCCTAGTCATGATTGTCACATAAACATACAATTTACACCAGATAATATAATGTATTAAGAACGTTAATTAGTTTCTTCTTCTAATACAAACTCTCTTGAGTGTATAGTGAGATCTCTTGGCGATGTCGGTTTGTATCCGGCTGCTTGTAAGTAGAATCCGATGAGTAGGCGACCAGGGAGGTCCCAAATAAACAGGATTTCTAAGAAAGCGCCCGAAAGCCCTTAAAGCGTTTAAAACATGCCGCTTCCTAATCAAACTCTATAGGTGGCTAGTTGCCCATGGCTCCTGGTATCTGCAACCAGACCCATGGATACCATTTCAATATGATTTTTAATTTAAGAAGTTTACTACCAAAAAATAAAAACTGCAGTTTTGCAAATTTAAAGTAAAAAGCCATTCATTAGCTTGCTTAAAAAAAAAAAAGTTCGCCAATAGCAGAAGAAGTTACAGAATTCTTTGTTTCTTAGATCATGATATCTCAGTACCCTCCCAAACTTACCCAAAAGGTCCCTTAGTATGTGAATAGTTTCCTGTGTACCAGCATGGGCACCCGAATTTGTTGCCTTCAGGTCTCTGACAGTATTCAACCTGTGATGTCAACTAAGCCATTGCCCGATGCCACTCTGAGCCAAGCGCTTCACGATGTCCTCTATTTCTCCCTCTCTTCCTCAATATATGATTATCTAGTAATAACAGAATATCAATTATTATCCAACAAACATCCTATATGTACTGATCAATATCTTCTCAAGTGATTAATAAATAAACGTAACGCGAGAGAGATGAGTGAGTGAGCGCGGAGAGATTCTCTCTAATCAACAAACGAACTACTACGATAAGTCTCTCTCTGAATATAGAAAGAAATAACATAAATTATAACAACATATAAACAAATATAAATAATTAATAATGACATAAATTGAGAGTATTTATATAATAATAATTGGAAAAATGAATAGTAAATAATCTAAAAATTTCCAACACGATAACTCTGAATCATAAGTATCCATGCCATCAGATAATAAATATTAATATCACATACATGATAAAAATACATCTATCATAGAAATGCAATGACAATATAAAATAAAGGATAATATATAGTCTCTCTCTATAAATATAAATGTAAATGAAGTAATATCCATGTTTATGGAATAATCAATGAGTATAATAAAGAGTAATGTAATGAACACAAAATGTGAAGATACATAAATTCAGAACATAAAATTGAACGACATATATAAATGAATATCATAAATAATTATAGATACAGGTAATAATCACTATATAATATAAAATAATTAAAACTGATAAATGAGTATAGATTTCCAGATATAATATAATTGATACTAACATTAATTATCCTCCTCAATTCAATTAAATAAATTATCAATACATAAATAAGTTATGATAAAATAATTAATAAATAATTAATAATATCTCATAAGACTACCTAAATTAAAGGACAATTAAATAGATCTCAATACGATTTGTATTTCATAATAGATAATACATAAATATCACACTACATATAATAGAAAATAAATAATTAAATAATTAATTAACCATATGATAAATGAATAAATATAACATTTACATCTAATAATTAAAGTTATACAATAAAACAGAATGATATAATAACTTGTAACCTTCCAATGATATTCCAAAATATTCATCATAAAAATAAATAATTAGCAATAATAATCAAAATATATAATCTCTTAAATTGCATAAGAACTAGATAAAAAATCTATCAGTAAATTTTAAGAGAATTATTCACATAACTGTAGACCATTTACTGATTAAGCTAAAAATAGAGTATATAATAATAATAATAATATATATAATATATTAACGCATCTAGTTAGAAATAGATAATTGAATATAATAATTATAATGAGCTACATAAATAATCAACTATAATTAATAATAATAATAAATAAATATAATATATAATAAAATAATATCATATATAATAAAAACTAATAATAATTAAATAATATCTTAATAATAATTAATATATTATAAATACATGCAATAATAATAATCAATAATAATTTTAATCAATTTACATAATATACAAATCTATGAAAGAATACAAATCATATTAATATGACTATGAATGATATGCATGAATGATGATAATGATGACCATAATTTCTATATTGATTAGATTAAGCATTCTTTAATTTGCACTCATATAGATGAAAAAATAAAAGATATGATAGTTACAATAACTATCAAACGGATGTATAGATAACTTACAATTTGTGTAAAAACAAAAAATACTACTTAAATTATTATTATTATTGATATTATTATTACTATTATTGTGGAGGGAAAATGTATTTGAATATGCAGAATGTTTGACATCACAGTCTGAATACCTCTTGCGAAGACACAAATCGCTGCCCAGGAAACACTCTCACGTACTTGACATTTTGTAATTTGAGGTACGAATATCATGACTAGAAAAAAGATCTGTAACTTCTTTGCATTGCGAAAAACTTTTTTTTTTTTAAGCAAGCTAATGAATGGTTCTTTACCTTACAATTGCAATAACTGCAGTTTTATTTCTCTTTCGTAGTAAACTTCTAAATTAAAAATCATATTGAAATGTATCCATGGGGATCTGTGAACCAGAGCCACTGGGGCAGACTGAGCCACCTATACGAGCTTTGACAAGGCCATTTTAACAGCTTTACAGGTCATTCGGCCAGTGTTAATTTGGGACCCCCGATTCCTACTATCACCAATCTCCCCAACCCCACCTCCCACAATTTAAAGACAAGGTTTGTTAAAAAAAAAATAACTTTCTTAACTCACATATATTTTGTGAAAATGTATTTATGACATATTCATGACCTACCCCAAACTGATAAGTCTCTCTCACCAAATATGAGATACAGAAGTTTATGCAGAATTTACAAATTAATGAAGGTATTCATAAACATATTTCATGGAAATGAATGGAACTAACACATTGAATATTTATAAAATGATCTCAATCTGATTAAAAAGTAAATCTATTAGACATAGCTTATATTAATGTAATGATAGTTTTTACTGAACATATTAGAGAACTGACCAGCTGTTTGATAGTTTAAGGCCACCATCTGACTCCCTGAGTTCCACATGGGGACTGGATTGTAGTTGGAGGAGTCAATTCGCTGTCCTTTTGGATATACTCGACTGAACTGAACCTGGAAAGAATACCATTAGAAACAAATCAGCAATAAATAACAATATATGTACATAGTAATAATGCTCAATGTGAAATCTTAAAGAGATCAAATTAATTTTTCCACATTAGATAAGATTCCACACCATACAGTGAAGTAAATAGAATCTATGTAAGTTAAAACTGGGGTTTGTATTCACATTGGAGAGATTGCTGCATTATATACATTCCACATTGAGCTAGTTTTACTGGGTTTAAATTAGAATGCCATAGCTTTAATAATTAATTTTCAAAAACGTATTTTAGCTATAAGAGACTTGTAATGGAAGAGCATTATTTATACAGTAAAACCTGTCATTGGGACCTGACTGAACCTACAAAAAAATTCCTTTTTGGCAGGTTTCTGTCTTCCAGAGGGTCACTTTGTTAGTGAAACAAAATTATGAAAATAAGACATAATTTATCAATGAAAACTTTTTAGCAGGAAATAAAAAACCCAGCAAAACAGGGAAAATATAGGACAAGCATTTATTCCACATTTTCTTCTGAAAACGGTTTTGCACATACATATTAAAGACATGCTGACACACTAGCACTATACTGCATACATTCACTAAATTGTGGGGTCTACATTTCATCATTGCTACAACTGCTGTGACAAGGTAACAGTATTCCATTCTCGACTTAAGGAAATGTGGTGACACTTTCAAAATTAAACACTGTAGACGACACACTTAAAAGTTTTGAAGTGATTGCGATGAAATCACACTCGTTTCAACCCAGAAAATCAGACCAAACTGTGAGAAAGCACAGCGAAAGAGCCCCAGAGTTCACCAAAGATTCTCAGACAGCAGGTACAAAAGGAAAAACTTGTTGTTCACACAACTGTCTCAGGATATGACCCTTTGCACTATGAAATTCTAAAGATGTGCTGGAAATTGAAAAATAAATTTCCTTCTTAGCCAGGTAACAATCACTTTGTGTTTTCTAAAAACTATTATATTTCCACAATAAACATGTTTTCAGCTTAAAGAGCACATTTTCACATATAAATTCATTCATTTCTCAGATTTTTAGTTCAGGTTGGCAAGTTTCCGTCTTACAGAGGCGCGGTCTTCGACAGGTTTTACTGTAGTAGGAAATGAGGATTGGCATTAAAAGAAGTAAAGAGATAAGCAGAAATGTATAAAAGGTGACAGCACTCTTTTTCAAGTGGAGACAATAAAAATAAAAGAAATCATGTAGTGTATTCTTTGCTTTGGACTC